AATTATTAATTTATTTAATCAACTTTGTTATTTCTAATTTAACAATAATAAATTATTCAAGAAGAATGATTGGTTGATCTGAATTTTTATCAGGTCAGATCAGATCAGGTCGACCTGTTGACCTGACCTGATATCAACCTGAAAATCTATTGATCTGACCTGAATTTTCAGATTGGTTAAGGTCAGGTAAATAGGTCAACCTGATCTGATTCGAAGCTCTAGTGATATCATATAAATTTTCACATAAGAGCATGCTTCTTTTTATAGATGGGATATGATAGTTTCATCTTTTTTCAGACCATCATATAGGTCTTTGATATATACCTTAACCCACTTCTCAGCCAATTTCTATGTTAGGTCATCTTTTATATTTGATACTTCATCTTCATCCAAATTTTTACCATCTTTCGATTTTTCTATAGATTTAGATGACAATTAGTATCTATTATAATTAATAAAACACGTATAAAGACTTATTACGCTCTTTAAATAATAGCTAATATTGATTTTTTTGTTAAATTTCTTTACTACATCCATAAATTCCATAAAATCCCCTTTTTTACTTTTTGATTTCTTGTCGTAATGATCAACTACAATATACTTAAAGTGTTCGCCTATTTCTGGGATTTCATAAAGATAAAGTTTAGGTATTAGGCCCTTTTTATGAGCTATTTAGCATCAGTTATTCACGGGTATATCTATCTTGCATTCGTGAAATAAATTACTGAATGGGTTTATTATCTTTATCAGGCTTTTACGCATATGTTTGAACTAATTCACTAGAGTCTACTTGAGTAATATTATTTACAGTCTCTTAGAGCTCATCTTCTACAATCTGATGCATAGTACGAGTATTATCTAGTCTCATAGATTTTTCTATAATCGTCTTACTCATCTTGTGAAAATATTTAAACTGCTTCTACTTTACAATCTTAATACCCTGAATGAAAAACTCATTATTAAAGTTCAGCTCCTTTATATGTGGAATGCCATAGTATTTCTTCTTTCTAGTAAATGCTACTAGAAATAAAGCTTCTTCATATGTTATTTTGAGATAAAGAGAACTGTTATCTTTCCTGAAAAAGTCATTGATATTATTATGAAGTTTCTAATTACTTTCATAGAGATTTTTACCATTTTAGACCAATATTCTTCTTTTGAAATCCCATTGCTATATGTCTTATCATATTTCTAAAAGTATGCTTCTAGACAGATTAGATATAAAGAATCAGTATTACCATATTTTATCTGAAAACCCTTGCTTTTAATAAAATTCGCAACAAGTTTAATATTTCTCTGTCTAGCAGATATGACATTCCCAGCAAGTTTATGCAAGAAGAAAGGGGACTTACTATCTTTAACTGTATCATAAAATGAATTTATGTATACCTTAAGAGCATTTTATTTCACATTTAAGCAAGAATAGTTAAAACAAACTGAATTGTATTCTATTATTTATTCATACTTTTCTATATTAATAAAATAGTACTAAAACCTGCTTAATAGCTTCTGATAATGATAAACCTTTATCTATTAAATCTATTATCAGTTTCATGTCTTCTTTTTTATCTTTTAGAGGAGCAAGATGTTTTTTCATCTCAATCCATTTACTATATAAATATTTCAACACATTGGCATAGAGACCTTTTTCTTTAGGAATATTATTATGTTTTATAGACCATACAAGAATATCATGATCATTGAATTTGAAATTAATTTTATGAAGCTTTTTGCCACTTTTTTTTAGAGAGTTGGAATGTTTTTGAGATAAAATAATTTTATCAGGTGAGAGATTGTAAGTTATAATAAGGTTAGAATATAATGATGTAAAATCTAAACCAGTTACAGAATATCTATTTTTAAGTCTTTTTATTGGTAAGAAGACGTAAGTACTCAGGAATGATTCTATTTCCATTTACTTTGAAATTGTACTGATTAAAATTCCTTTCCACCATACACTAGCATTTAAAAGATTGCTCACTTTCATTCCTATTGCAAAATAATACACATTAAATAATGATATAAATGCTATGCTCGTAACCTCCCTATACTTATTAATTATATTATATTTAATCATTAACCGTTGGTAACTAAGAGCATCAATGATATAATACTCAGTTATTTCATGCATTTGTTCAGCTGTTGTGGCATTTGCCTCTTTTAGTATATTTCTATAATACTTGAATATGTAGTAAAAAGACATATTCATTTTACTTTCGAGCCCACATTCATTTAAGTAGAATGCTAAACTGCTTTTTTGGCCTTAAAATAAAATTTCTTAAAACAGAGTTGGACATTGATAGCCACACATCCAGGAATTTTAAGATGTTTTGAATAGAACTTTTTATTATTAACCTTTATCATGTTATATTAATATTGCCATTTTGTAATCTTTTCGAAGCTCATAGGTTTTAGTAATATAAATTGAATATCTATTTGAGAACTCCTAACTTCTTTTAGCTTTCTTTACAATAAATCACCAATCATATTGAGAGTTATTAAAATCTATTTATATATCAGGAGATAAAAGTTTCTAACACAAGGCGAATGCTTTTATTAAATTAATCTAAGATCTGCATATAATCATGATCTAGTAAGGATCTGAAGCAGTTTCAACATCGACAAGATAAATTTGTTTTAATGGATTAGGGTCATCTTTCTAATAAACTGATATGCAAATCATAAATACGTTAGATTCATCACTTTGTATAGTAAGAAATTTGCCTAGTTTAAATAAACTATATATCTCTATATCCTATATAAAAATAAAAGTTCGATCCCTCAAAAGCGCTAAAGAAATTAACGAATTGTTACACTCATTATCGTTTATTAGGATATAATTGTTTACAGATACCTGAAAGAGATAATTATTTTCTGATAGTATATATGAATAATTACCCAATAGCACTTAGCTTAAAAGAGTAAAGGCTACTTTATGATAATAGTACGTAAAATTTAAGTCATTAGAAGTAATGCTAATACTAGCTTACGAACTACCTTTAACGAATTATATTAATCAAAGTGATTCCATGTCTTTACACAGATATATAACTTATTCTCTGTATGATATCCTTGAAGTAGAAAAGTGCTAATAATTTCGAGCTTGAACTTCAATGTGCTTCTGAAAATATTAGATAATATCTTTACCAATTTGGTTTTAAACATAGATATTGGCATCTCTTCAGATACTATGACATCAAAGAAAGGCTCAATGTCTGTAATATTTATGACTGCCTTTTGCCCATTAATCAGAATATCAGTAATACGCAAAATATAGGAGAAGTACCCTCGATATCATTACTGACTTCAGTAGTAAAGATGGTATTGCAACATTATGACACTTATTTGTCACCTGTTGCAACTTAAATTTTAATAATATTGCAATTCGTTGCAACATTGTGATGTTTATTTGTCACTTGTTACAACTAATTGAGGCACCATCTTTATTCAGTAGGTATAAAGTATACAGGATGCTTATTAGATAAGCTTTGTTAAAGTATAGCAGTCATTCCGTTATTATATTCTGTCACAATATCATTGCATGATGGGATACCAGCTAAAGGACTAGCACTATCATAGTGGGCGAGAGTTCCATGATCAGTTTAGTTAAAAATAGTTAATATATATATAATATTAGTTTAAAAAGTTATACTATCTCTATAAAATTCAGAAATGTTTAATTTATTTTTTTTTGATAGATGCAAAAAAATACATAGCAAGTTGACAAGCAAATCATGAATAAATATATTCCTAATAGATGATATTTAGGGTAGTCTTCTTCAGAAATATTATATAAAATTATGGAAGAAGACTACTCTATCACTAGCATGTATCTGGGTATGACATAAAGGCTACATCTCAATAGTATATATCTAAATATATGTGACATATATTGTGTATTTGGAGTAAATAATCCTCAAAAAGAAACTTTATATAAAATAATGGAACTTATTTACCCTATCATTAAAATGTATCCAGATATATATGAACACTTAGAGTAGGCAAATGCGTAATCTATTATAAAAATTTTACTATAATACCATCTTTAATTTTTCAAATTATATGCCTAAAAATTGGCTGGCACTATTCCAGTAATCAAATAACCTGAACATAATCCCTCAAAAGTTACTTGAAAGTGATGAGAAAATGCCTAGAATTGAAGACGTAGTAAATTGGCATACATATAGCATAAAAAATGATTGCACATAAGCATACATATACTGATAGCTAATAGGTAATAGATGGGTTGCAAAATGGTACGCATTTTCAGTAAATAAATAGGCTGATCATAATAATACCTATTATACCTCTGAGAAGTATAATACCTTAATCTTTGCTTCTGATAGTAAATAGGTAGTCAAAAAGTAGAATTAAACTTAGTCAGTAATATTGTGTAAGCCATCTAATGTGATCTGTCATCCTGTTATAGCAGAACCAGCTTCTAGACCATATCGTTCAAAATCTTCTTTACTAGTTTTGAGAAAAACATGGCTATTAATTTTTTTTTTGCGAATGATTTTTAAATCATCTTCATCTAAACCTAGATTCTCAATCTCACGCAATAGACTAATAAGCTTAGTTGTATCATATGTTTAATTAATTTTTTCATCCTTTGAAAAAAGAGATGTATAGCAAGCTAGTAAGTAAATCAAAAATAAAAGGTAATTAAATAGGTGCAAAATCTTAATAAAGAACTAGTATTTAAACTAGCATAGAGGATCAGCATTCTCATTATAAAACCAGGTATTCAAAGAAGATTGGAAAACTAGAACTAACAATATAAATTTTATTATGTAAACGGATTAGGAATAAGAAGAAAGTAGTCACTATTAGATCATGACATCACCATTAAATTAAAACACTACCAATCACTATTAAACTATGAAGTTATCATCATATTATACAGGAAACAGATGAAATAATGCTATAAACACAAAGGAGCTACCTATATGTAGGTTATAAAATCATTATTAGAGTATGAATAATAGGTTATAAAGTGTCTACTAGATCATGAAATTAGACTATGAAATCACTGTTATATTATGAAGTTACTATTATATTATGAAGTTACCAATAGACTATGAAGTTATCATTATATTACATCAGGAATATTTTTAATGCGAAGTATTGCGTAAGATTTACGATTTGTAAACTTATGCAAATATTACG